CGCACTCAATGTCCGCACACTCTACCAGATCGGTCAACAAGCCATCTTAGCCAGAACCCTTGAAACCTTCCATCTAGATGTATGCTGTGTCTCCGAAACACGCATACAGGATCCTACTTCAGTCATCTCCCTCCGTTCTCCAGATCCGGCCTCATCCTCAAGCTTCACTCTCCGTGTGTGTCAGGCGATTCGGCATCCGAAGATTGCAGTGTTGCTGGCGTTGGAATTGCGCTAAGTGTCCAGGCCGAGCGTTCGCTTCTCGAATGGATCCCGGTTAACAGCCGATGTTGCGCCGTACGTCTGGATGGTTCAGTACGCGTCAACAGCTACAGAACGAAGCGTCGATGCTTATTCGTTGTATCCGCGTATGCACCGACAGATTGCAGTTCACCAGAAATAAAGGATGAATTCTCTACTGCTCCAAAGCACTCGGTCAACGGACATTGTGATAGTCGCTGGAGACCTCAATGCTCAAGTGGGATCCCTGGACGAATCGGAGAGGTTACTTGGCGGTTCGCATGCAATCCCAACCAACAGGACTGACAACGGAGAACGCCTACTCCAACGTTGTGTTGACCACGGACTGTTTCTGTCAAACACGCACTTCTCGCACAAAAAACGGCACCGCCTTACATGGAGACCGGCAACTTCTTCACAGCGCTGGACTCAAATCGACCACATCAGCATCAGCTGCCGCTCCTACTGGTCAACACCCGTAGACACGGACCATGCTCTGCTGCGAGCGAGATTCTCCCTAAGAGTGGTAAACAACCGCAGAAAAGCCGCCGAAAACGGATGCCCACAATACACCATGACCGACAGTTGCAAATCGGCCTTCGAAGCGAAACTATCAGATCGCCTCTGAACTCAACCATCAGCCGGAGGACTCATCGAAAACTGGTCGGCAATCAAGGAAGCGATCTAAATTTGAATCAAACAACGGCGAACTCTGACGCACGATCAAATCAAAAACGATGGATCTCCTAAACCTCGGTTGCCCTGATGGACGCTCGCAAAGCCATTCCATCGGATTCAAGATACGACAAAACGCGCAAATCCATTAAACGCAGCTCATCAAGAGTCTGAGGAATGACCGCGGGAAGTGGTGGGTAGGAAAGTGTAGAGAGATGGAGAAGGCTGCGACTTTCGGTAATAGTCGCAATCTTTTTCGTTTAATTAGGAATACAGGACCAAG